CAACTCAAAATTGCATAATTTGCCCCAGTGGTAGAGACGGTGATTGCATGAGCTCGGGTATAGTTTATCTGATCTCGTGTGAGACGTGTGGTGACGAATACATTGGCAAAACGGGTAGACCACTCNCACCTAGCCGGCAAAAATAGACCAAATACCCCGCTAGGCACGCATAGGACCCAGAGACATAACGGGGATGACTTCGAATTATGTGTCACGATCCTCGCACGCGAATCGAGAACACAGGCGCGAAAAACCCTCGAGGCACTCTGGATTAATTCCAGAAATCCGAAAATGAACCGCAGGGAAGAATACCTCATTATCACGCGTGATATAGGGCAGTATATAAAACTGCTTTTCTGATGTGAGGGGCACATTATACTTCCACGTGATTTCTGTGCGGTTGGTCTCTACGTGACATACTTAGTGGAGACCTCATAGAAAGCGGTGAGTGTGCAAAGCTGTGTTCAAAGTGATTGAAATCTTGGTTTGGGGTTTCTTTGTTTGGTTATGGAGGCGTCTGGCCGAGTGAGTTGCTATCAACTTGACCTTTCCAGGCTCTGAAGAAGGCGAAATTCGCCGAAACGTCAGCTTAATCGTGAACAAAGAACAATAACACCTCGTGTTTGCTCAAAAAAATACGAACAAAATCACTTTATCTTCGACAGTTTAGCCTATAGAACAGCGTCTTTGATTTATGATGGTTGACGTAGATCGGAGCTTCGAATCCCTTCCCTCACTTATCTGGTATGGGTTACTCTTAACATCGTCATTTTAACTACGTGTTCACCTAACGTTGAGTGATTTTCCATCCCGCTTGCGTAGCGCCGGGCTTCTAACACGTAGGTTGAAGTAACAAGAATCGTGGAGTTAAAAAAGTTGGCACAGAGTAGGATGTTCTTTTTTACCCTTACTACATCCTCGATGCTCTTGTTCCCAAGGCTCTCACTTCCTTTTGCTCAACTCTTGAACTAAGTAGTTACTCATGTTGACTTCCAGACTTAAGTAAACTAGGCTGGAGCATTGAGAGCTATTCGTTCCGTTGAGCGTGATTGCGGCAAGACGAGTATATCTGAGCTAAAGTTCTTTTTTCTATTATATCTCGTTTGGTCAAAGGCAAAGCTGTTGAGTAGGCGATTTGTTGTAAAGTAGGACACGCTAATACTTCTCTATACATTACTTTTTGTGCTGTATTGCTGGCGCTACAAATTCCAAAAGTACAAGTTTAATTTTCTAGCTTTGGAAAATACCGTTAAAGTGATTGATCAGAACCTATTTTATAAGATTGTTAAGTCCTCAGTTTTTCAACCACTACATTTGTAGGGAAGTTATCGAAAAACCAACTTTATTTGGTATATATCAGTGCGCTGCAGATTGAGGTATTTCTTATTGTCATATTTTTATAGGTAAACGTGTGGACTTTTCTGCTAGAACTGTTATCACTGCTGATCCAAATCTACCGATTGACACTGTTGGTGTGCCGCGAACGATCGCGCAGAATTTGACGTTTCCTGAAATTGTTACACCATTTAATATTGACAAGTGCATTTTTATCGTATTCTCATCTTGAATTGTGCTTTACCATTGAGTAATATGATGAATGGCCTCTCTCTTTCCAACGCACCCCTTTGAAGACTTGTTTCTTTTAGATTGCAGGAGCTTGTAAATCGAGGCGATTCTCAATATCCAGGAGCTAAGTACATAATACGTGAAAATGGGGCTCGTGTTGATTTGCGATATCATCCTCGGGCGGCAGATCTCCATCTACAGCCTGGCTACAGGTTTGTGTTTAATGAGTTTTTGGTTCTTTTTGTAACTCTGAAGACGAGTAATTAAGAGTCGAGCGACATATGCGTGATGGTGATGTTATTGTTTTCAATCGACAACCAACTCTGCACAAAATGTCTATGATGGGTCACAGAGTGAAGGTATTGTGTAGTGTTCGGACCCAAGAGAAAATTTAATTTTGGAAACTTCTGTCGCATTTTCAGATTCTTCCATGGTCTACGTTTCGCATGAATCTCTCTGTCACCACTCCGTACAATGCAGATTTTGATGGTGATGAAATGAACCTCCATTTGCCACAGTCGTTGGAAACCAGGGCAGAAATTGAAGAAATTGCGATGGTGCCAAGGTACTTCACTTCTAAAAGTTAGCGTCATTTTCTTCTATCTTTCTCATATCTTTTGAGACAATTGATTACTCCACAATCTAATAAGCCTGTAATGGGTATCGTGCAAGATACTCTTTGTGCTGTTCGTATGATGACGAAGAGGGACGTGTATATTGACTATGTAGGTTTTTTTCAAATTCTCAGCAAATTACTACGACTAATCTCCAACTACGCATTGTATTGCAGCCGCGGATGATGGATCTTTTGATGCATTTGCCATCGTGGGAAGGCAAAGTTCCGCAACCTGCAATTATGAAGCCTAAACCTCTGTGGACAGGCAAACAGCTCTTTTCTTTGATCATCCCTGGCAATGTGAATGTTTTGAGAACACACAGTACCCATCCTGACGATGAAGACAGTGGTCCATATAGATGGATTTCTCCAGGTGATACAAAGGTGAACTCTTGTTGTCTGTGTTGTAACGCTGTTTCGTACACTTCGTCATAATTTTTTTGCAGGTTCTTGTTGAACATGGGGAGTTGATCTCGGGCATAGTTTGTTCCAGAACCGTGGGAAGGTCCGCGGGTAATTTACTGCATGTTGTCGCTTTGGAATTGGGACATGAGGTAAGTTTTTATAGAAAAATATTTTACTTTATAAAGTTTTATCGGCCTTCGCTTTCAGGTAGCTGCAAAATTCTACTCTAATATTCAAACAGTTGTTAACGCATGGTTGATCGGAGAGGGTCACACAATTGGAATCGGTTCAAATGTTTTGTTTATTTGTTCTTAGTGCCTAATGTTTTTAAATTCCTGTTTAGGTGATACTATTGCGGACCAAGCAACTTACCGCGACATTCAGGACACGATTAGGAAGGCCAAATTAGATGTTATTGATGTCATCGAAAAGTGCTGCTTTTTATTTACTAGTGAAAATCAATGCACCTATTAAGATTTGAGGAGGACTGGTTTAGGGCTCACAATGATGATTTGGAACCTACTCCTGGTAACACTTTGCGGCAGACATTTGAAAACAAAGTAAACAGAATTTTGAATGATGCTCGTGACAGGACCGGCAGTTCTGCCCAAAAATCTCTTTCTGGTTAGTTTACACCGTTTTGCAAGTCGAAATCAGATTTTAAATGTTTTCTTTTCTAATCAGAATTCAACAATTTCAAGTCGATGGTTGTTTCTGGGTCAAAGGGTTCTAAAATCAACATTTCTCAGGTGAGCGTTATAGTTTCTGTGTTGTTCGTTATCATTTTCAGAGAAGAGGAGCTCCATTTATCGGATGTGTGTTCGAGAATCATGCGCCTAAATTTAAATTGAAAATTAAGTTTGAAAATTTAAACTAGAGCTTTCTTTGGAAGACCATTCAGATGTCGAGTATTCATCTAATCCCATAATATTAAGGTTATTGCTTGTGTGGGTCAACAGAACGTTGAGGGTAAGCGCATTCCTTTCGGATTCCGTCATCGGACGTTACCGCATTTTATCAAAGATGATTATGGACCGGAATCAAAAGGGTATGAAAGGGTTCATGGTGTCTTGTGTACTCAGTAGTTTGCGAAAGCCTTTTTGCAGATTCGTCGAAAATTCTTATCTTGCTGGTTTAACACCTGCTGAGTTTTTCTTTCACGCTATGGGAGGTCGTGAAGGTTTAATTGACACTGCCGTCAAGACCGCTGAAACTGGGTACATCCAACGTCGATTAATCAAAGCTATGGAAAGTGTTATGGTTAACTATGACGGAACAGTAAGTTGTTATTCTGCATTGTTTTATCACTTACAATCTTTTTTTCTTTTCTTTCAGGTTCGAAATTCATTGGCACAGATGATCCAGCTCAGATATGGTGAGGACGGCTTAGATGGTATGTGGGTAGAGAACCAGAGTATGCCAACGATGAAACCTACTAACATGTTATTTGAAAGGGATTTCAAGGTGAAAAAGCACTGCATTGACTAAAGTGTTTTTTCAACTTCGTCACAATTTATGGTGCTGTTTAGAATGATCTATCCGATGAAAAAACATTGCGGAAGTTTTATACCGAAGATCTAGTTCGTGAACTGCAAGCCTCTCCTGAGGCCACGAAAGAGGTGGGTCTGTTTTTGGTAATAACGGAGTAGGTAGGGAGGATAGCGCAGTCGTTAGTGGTGCTGTCAATCGGAAAGCAAAGGTGCCAGTACCAGTTCGATCCGTGCTCAGAGCTTTCCTCCAATCCATGTGAGAACGCCTTAGCCCGGCTACCTCCATGATTTCAAGGACTATTGACTGTACCATCATTCTGCCACATCCATAAAGAAAACAAAATCCTCAAACAGCAGTCGAAACAACACCCGAAATATTCGAAGACCACTGTGGAGGATGTGCACGGTGAAAACAAATCGAAAGCAAAAAGCATTGGGATCCACACAGTAGGTGTTATAATGGATCATGCAAAGGCAGGTTTTGGATTGGCAGAAAAGGTGTGCATCTTCACCAAAAATGTTTGTACGACATGAATGATTGAAATTGGTCAAATAAATTTGTTCGTAGAAAGATTTTCATTTTGTGAATTAAGAGGTGTAGAGGGTGGTTTTTCACCACCGGCGCCTAGTCCAACATATGTGTTGGGTAAACCATCGTTGGAGTGTGAAAGGCGCAACGGAATAACTTTGCGGAGAATTGTATATTCGAAATGTCCATTGAAATCATTGCAATGGTTCACTACATCTGTGTATTAATGCATGCGGTTGCTTGTGTGTTGATAGCGTTTCGAGCGACCCTCAGTATGTTTGGTTTTGAACTCAAGAGGCAAAACGTCTTTGATGCCTTGGTTTCAAGCAACCTATATTTATCGCAAATTAGGTTTTTGTTCTTTATTTATTTACCTATTATTACATATTGTGCGGTTAGTACAATTTATTTAATTCGGTTCGTTGTTTGGTATCTGTCGTCCACAAAGGTCTTCGAATAAACATGTGGATTCGTTTGCAATATATTGGTTTTCATCCTATTTATGAGTATGGCGGAATTCCGTTCGAGTAGACTTTGGATTCTAGGATAGCTGAGCTAGGCCGTTCGCAGGTATTCACCACAATTACCAGGCAAGTCGGACCAGTTTGCTGACCGTGAAGGAATAAGAGTCTTGGTTAGCTAGAGGCTGACTCGAACCAGTACTTTGTATTCTGTTGCGTTGCATATTTAACCACTACATTATCCGCGCTCAATTGTGTAATAAGAGAACTTAACACTGACTAATTAGACAAGAAGTGAGCTACCGTACGCAGTACAGCGAGAAAGCAGGTTATATATATATATACATATATATATATATATATGTATATATATATATATGGCACAACAAGTAATTGTTTTCTTCTTGAGCAGCCACAAGGCTGTTTGTAATAAGATTTATTGAATACTAGGTAACGGTTCAGCGGTCTTGCTTTCTTCAGGACCTGGAATGGTCAAATTGACACCCAGTGTACTCATTCATTTTCATAACCCAAGCGGAATAACTCGATATAACTTTATCGATTGTGGTTGTGGTTGGAGACCAGCCGTATATTGTACTACATAACAGAGCAATGTGTCTGACTCAGGTCGAAAAGTCAATCCAAGATATACGTTTGCTGGAGAAGGAAGCATTGACTTACCGAAGAATGCCGAGGTTGATAGAAAATCGCTCCTAGTAATTTAATATCACGTCTTAATATCATACCGACCTAAACAATTTTTTTTACACCAGGTAAATAGTATAGAGGTGTAGTATATAGAGGTATGGTATAGAGGATGTTTAACGTATACAATAAACTTTTTATAGCTAGAAGCTGAGTTTCAACAACTAGAGGAAGATCGTCTTCTACTTCGGAAGATTTTTCCAACTGGTGATGCTAAAATTGTTCTTCCTTGTAATCTTCAACGGCTTATTTGGAATGCTCAAAAAATTTTCCACGTGGAAACTCGGTTTGTATTGTCCTTTCAAATGCTGGGGATCTTTTCTATTTTCGTTGCTTGTTTTACTGTTCTTCTTTTATATCACACAAGTATGTTTTTTTTTGTCAATTTTCCAGTAGCTTTTTTAATCTTTTAAATATTTCAGTAAAGTATCAAATCTTAGTCCACTTCACGTCGTTGATGGCGTGCGGAAGCTTTCAAAAAGACTCATAATTGTTTCTGGCGAGGACAAAATTTCTAAGCAGGTATATCGATGTCCAAAAAGGTCATCACAACTGGTCTTCGTTGTGCAGATGTGAATTCGCAGTTAAGGCTCAGTATAATGCCACGTTATTGATGAATATTCTAATTCGTTCAACTCTGTGTTCAAAGAAAATGGCATCGACCCACAAACTAAATATGGAAGCATTTGACTGGCTGATAGGTTCGTTATCCACTCTATCTTTTGTTCTTTTTATTCGATAATTTTTAATAGAAACTAATTTTTTGGTAACAGGAGAGATCGAGACCCGATTCCAACAAGCTATTGCACAGCCCGGTGAAATGGTTGGCGCACTTGCAGCTCAGTCGCTTGGAGAACCTGCTACTCAAATGACACTTAATACTTTTCATTACGCTGGTGTATCTGCAAAGGTGCTTAGGGATTAAAGCATTAGGAGCTTCAACGTGGTTTAATTTACCCCCAATTAATCTATGTTAACTTCCTTTTAGAACGTAACACTTGGAGTTCCGCGTCTTAAAGAGATCATAAACGTGTCAAAACAGCTGAAAACACCCTCACTGACGGTGTTCCTTCAAGGTGCAGCAGCCAAAGATGCAGAGAAAGCTAAAGATGTGCTTTGCAGATTGGAGCATACGACATTAAAGAAGGTCATTTGATGTTTGGTGCACCTTTTTTTTCTTTTTTTTTTTCTGGAAACTGTAACGTGCTCAGGTCGTCTCAAACACCGCCATTTACTATGATCCAGACCCAAAGAATACATGCATCGAGGAAGACGAGGAGTGGGTCAGCCTTTTCTATGAGATGGCTGACTTTGATCCCAGTCGGGCTTCTCCATGGGTTCTCCGATTAGAACTTGACAGAAAAAGGTATATCTCCTTCCACTCTATTTTCCACATATTCTTTTTTAAGCCTTTTGCGTTTAATGGTGGTTTACAGAATGACCGATAAAAAACTAAGCATGGAACACATAGCGGACAAAATTCAACAAGGATTCGGCGATGATCTCAATGTGATCTATACCGATGATAACGCCGATAAACTAGTTTTTCGTCTTCGTATTACCAACCAACCTTCGGATAAAAATGCAGAAGTGCGAGCTCTCACTCTTTTTAAAAGTTCTTTGTGTGTATTTTCATGAAATTTTATATTCTTCTACGAGTATGCATTTTTTTTGTTTACTTTTGGTATTTTTTGCAGATTGAACAAGTGGACAAGATGGAAGATGACGTGTTCTTACGTTGCATCGAATCGAACATGCTTTCTGATCTTACACTTCAGGTTGTCGGCAACGTTGTTTTGTATTGTTTTGTTGTAACGTTTCACACAAGGGCGCGTGTAGCGCAGTGGTCGGAGGCGCCCTGCAACACACAAGGGATCGGTCCTCTCGCAGAAGGTTCACCAAGCCCTTCATCCCCATGGGGTCGGGTAATTGGTACCAAACTTGTCTTAGTGGATAGCAGCTGTGGCTGGATATACGGGAGGGCCATCGCGAGCACTTGTAAAGGCAAGATATGCATTCAATCACCTCCAACGATGCTTGACGATATCGAGTGCATGGCGCATGCCTCAGGGATTGATTAGTGCCGATAGCTTTATCCTTTATCTTTCAACTCTTCTCACATTTGTGATCGGCATATTACCTTGATCTTTTCAGGGAATTGGTTCAATTTCAAAAGTTTATATGCACAAACCTACGACTGATGACAAGAAGCGTGTTGTAATTACTCCAGAAGGAGGGTTCAAAGCTATTTCTGAGTGGCTTCTTGAGACCGATGGTACTGCGCTTTTAAAGGTAGACCTTCCATTTCAATGCATGTTCGTCCAGTTGTAAGTGTTCATTATAATATTGTAATGTATGTTCAGGTTTTGTCAGAGCAACATATCGATCCTGTCCGCACGACTTCCAATGATATTTGTGAAATTTTCGAGGTTTTGTAGTTCATAATGTACGTATTCCTGAAAACTGGTAGTCAGAGTTTTCGTTTAGGTGTTGGGTATAGAAGCCGTTCGTAAGGCTATTGAACGTGAAATGAACAACGTCATTTCCTTTGATGGGTCGTACGTCAACTATCGCCATCTTGCTCTTTTATGTGATGTAATGACTGCGAAAGGTAGGTTTCACAAATAACTTGGGATCGCCATGATTTGTGCTGTTTGTGCTCCCCAGATCCCCAAATTATTTCCGTTGACGCGCGATTGCTGACTGCTCCGTTAGGTAAATGTTTGGCTGACAGAAGGAAAAGCAAGGCCTCAATTGTCATAGTGGATAGACTGTGAGCCATCGGGAAAGCTAATCGCAAGTTCGAAACTGGCTTGTGGCCCAATTTTGCGAATATCAGCATCGTTCTGGTTGTATCTCATATAATACCTTACCATAAATAGAACAGTAGCTAGTGAATCAAAAGGTGGTCATGGGGAAAACTTTGTAATTTTATCACAGGTCATTTGATGGCCATCACTCGTCATGGAATCAACAGACAGGAAGTTGGTGCTCTAATGCGTTGTTCATTTGAAGAGACAGTTGATATTCTTATGGAGGCTGCTGTGCATGCTGAAACAGATCCCGTTAAAGGTTTGTAGTACCTGAATTATTTTTGGAATTTAGTAAGAATTTTACCCTATGTCTTCTTGTATTTTGGGTATCCAATTTCAGGAGTTTCTGAGAATATCATGCTCGGTCAGCTTGCAAAAGCAGGGACTGGTGCATTTGATCTTGTTTTAGATGCGGAAAAATGCAAATATGGTATTGAGGTAAGTCTAAATGTTTAGCCTACTTTTTGAAGCTTTTTGTCGATAACTTTATCAAAAATTTCGTTGGGACACTTTCTAGGTGTCAACTATGTTGGGCGCGTATGGAAGTGTTGGTCAGTTCGGTGCTGCACATAGTCCAGCTTCGTCAGTTATCAAAGATTTTGGGGCTAATTTTGTGCTTCAGATATATCGATTACTTTAGGTCTTCAATGTCCCCTGTGCAGACTCCATGGAATGGTGGAATGACTCCTGGGTACGGTGCTGCATGGTCACCTATCGGGAGTGGAATGACACCGGGGGCTGCTGGATTTTCACCTTCAGGTCTCTCAGAAAATGGAATGTCTCCCGGATATGGCGGGTTTGTGGATTATTTGAATATAACGTCTACGTTAAACTGTTAGTGGTTGTTGTTATTTCTTGTGCATTTTGAATGCATTACAGTGAGGGAGGTTGGTCACCAACGTCTCCCGGAGATCCCTTAGGGGGAATGTCTCCATTGGGAGCTACTCCTCGTTATGGTGGAGCTATGTCGCCTGGTTATTCTCCTACGAGTCCAGGTACTTTTGGTGCCCAGAGTCCAGGCTATTCACCGACCAGCCCACATTATTCTCCAACATCGCCTTCGTATTCTCCAACGTCGCCGAGTTACAGTCCGACAAGTCCAAGTACTTTATTTCGATACTTCGATATTAAAAGTTAGTTATTCTTACTGAATTACACTTTATGTTATACATTAGGTTATTCACCGACGTCTCCTTCTTATTCTCCGACGTCACCTTCATATTCGCCTACGTCTCCCAGCTACAGTCCGACTAGCCCTAGTAAGAATCCCGCGTGTTAATATTTGTATCACTTTGTTTTCCCTTTTTGTATTTGTTGTCGAGTTGGTACATTATAGGTTACTCCCCAACCTCCCCGTCGTACTCACCAACAAGTCCAGGATATTCACCAAGTAGTCCGCGTTACTCGCCGACATCACCAACATATAGTCCTACTAGTCCTACGTGAGTTTTATTGTTATGGTGTAATAATTGCTCTTTGAAGATTCTATTGCTGTTTAGCTATTCACCAACGTCGCCTACATATTCGCCAACATCACCAACGTACAGCCCAACAAGTCCTAGCTATGGAGGCAGTGGTTACAGTCCATCGAGTCCTCGGTACGATGCCGACGGTTTCATCTCCACTCTCATTCTATATTGCTTCGTTGTTAATTACTTATAGCTATTCTCCGACGTCACCTACGTATTCTCCTACAAGTCCGACGTACAGTCCCACATCACCTCAATATAGTCCAAGTAGTCCACAGGTACATGTTTCTTTTCCTTTGTTAGAACTAAATATTTTCCAAAGTATTCCATCTAATTTTTTAGTATTCTCCATCTTCCCCCCAGTATTCGCCTAGTTCGCCACGTCCAGACGCTTCGCCATCATATTCACCATCATCTCCACAGTACAGCCCTACTTCTCCAGTTTACACTCCAAGCAGTCCTCAGGTTTCTTCTTTTGTTACATAAATTTGTGGTTAATTCAGTGTTTGAAATCTATGGTTATGTATAAAATTTGTTCTAGTACTCTCCGAGTTCACCTCAATACACCCCATCTGGAAATCCAGCGTCGCCAGTGGTTCGTTCTTAACGAATGCTTTTAAAATTATTATGAGGTGTTCATATTCGGCTTGTCAAAAATGCGAAGTTTAGTACTCACCATCGTCACCGCAGTACAGCCCGAGTTCACCGCAGTATAGTCCTAGTTCTCCAAATGTATGTTTTAGTTGTTCCCTTTTTGTGGGTTACTTCAACGTTTTTTGTATTTTCAGTATACGCCATCTTCTCCATATTCTCCCAATTACGATCCAGACAATTACAATTGATGTCTTCGAGATTTATCAGATTCAACATTTTCCGCGCGATCCAGCATTCCATTACTACTTTGAAGTGTTTGTGTGCCATGTAAATTTTTGTAAAGTGTATCTACTGAACTCATGTATGTTTTTCTGTTTCTTCTAATTTTTCTGTTTTTCAATATATGTTTTGTGTATATGTGATTTGAGAGTACCATGTGAGGTAAATTATTCTGTAATGATCTAGATCCATTGTTCGACTTTAAACACAAAGTATGATATTTGGTGAGATTTAGAAAAGAAGTACTGGAGGGCGCAACGTTTAGATGCTTAGGTGGCTACTCCCTAGATGTGTGATTCTCAACACTTATTCCTTCAGTTTCATTGTAATGAAACCTTGCACGGACGCCATTAGATTCGTTTACTGGCTTGGCACGACTGCGACTTGAAGGTCTCTGTTGTTCCTTCTAGAACGTTGAATGTGATCAAGCGCGATTTTCACCGGATACCACAGATGCACAAGTGAAGCAGAAGCTGCTTGAACACAAGAATTCTTCCAAGATGACAGACCTTAGACACAAATAGTTGACCGTTCACTGGAGAGCGTTGTATGGGGACTGGTACTTGAAATTGCAATGCTTGCTCGATACTCAGTATGAATAAAGTGAACTAATAGATTAGATAATAACAGTCGGAAAATGTAGTGGTTATATGAATTCGTGGGAAGAAAGGGTGGTTCGATGCTTTTTCTGTGCGGATCTGAAGTACAATATTATCCCACAAACTAGAACATAGGTTCTGGGGCAAATGACAAACTCTTTTTTAAATGCATGAGTGCAAATGTTGCGGTTGGACGTCTGTTTCTTCAGCATGTGTGGTACGCACCGAGCTTAATGCGTACTGCACAAAGCGGCCTACCAGGTATTCAACCGTTTGGTTTTGTATACCAGAGAGGTCATCCGCGCAATGGTCTTCGTTTTTTGTCATAGTAAATAAACGGCGAGTGATTTACAACTAGTTCTCAGGCTAATAAACGTCTTAAGTGACGATTTCCAAAGTTTCTTAATGAGCAAAATAAGCCCCCATAAAGAAGTTTGAAAGTCGCAGACCGAAACCGAAATTACAGTTTGGAAGACCGAGTTCTGATTAACCTAGTCATTAACACGGGATAACCGTGACCCATCATAGTGATTGGAAGAAAGATGACTATTAATCACTTGTCTTCCTTCCAACGGTTTACCACGTCATCGTGGCTGGGAGGTGTTCCTGGATTTCGGACTGCGATGTACAGCGGAAGGATTTCATCACCACGGCAGGGTCTCCCAAGATGAGAAGGAGTCCGACGTTTCCATTAGGAAGCTCAGCCAAGAGTAAACCAATATCAGGATCCACCACCGTCCTGGTATCAAAGTCTCATGGTGGCAAATCTCCCTCTGATCCACTAGGGCCGCGACTGCTTGTGGTCGTGACCTGGGGCAGACTTTGGTCTCGGGATTCCAGCGAACCACAATGGCTTAACTAGCAAATCCCCTAAAAGTGGTGATTATGCTGGGGCCCGCACAACTAATGATAACGGGCCGTTCATATATCAAGTAAATATAACCGGTCTTCACATTCAGAGCTGAACAGGATATACGTGTGGATCAAACGCTAAACACAATAGAACAAGAGGGCTTTATTCTGCCGACCCCGACGGAGCCCCGATATGGTAGCATTGGACGAGTACGGTGAGGCTGCTAAGATCTCAGGACCATTCTAGGCTTACTAAATTGCAAAGGACTAAGGCAACGATCTCTACCTACAATGCACGCTTACTTGCATCTAAGTTCTCCGTTAAAGACCTGATGATGCAGACTAGAAGGATATATGTACGATGTCATCGAACTGGCTAACACGCTGAAACTTTGTACACTTAGGCCGCCTATGATACCGAAGAGGAATTGTCCTTGCAACATGGTTTAAAAAAAAGTAATCGGCCGCGTTGGCGTCCTCACCAAACGAATTTTTGCCATGAACATCAGTTCATTCGAAGAACAATCAAAATGGGACGATCACGGTTTAAAAGGTGTGGATCAATACCTAGACCCAACATGACAATCCTTTGTAATAGCTTTTTACCCATTGATCGACAATTCTCTTCGCTCCCCTTATGATCGGAAATGTCACCCAAATTTCAAATCAATAATTAATAAGGGAAATGTTTATTTCACACATTTGTAACCTCTATGGTGCACAATTGAACCAAGTGATAAATAAAAGTCACATATCTTCAAAATCCACATTGCTCATATTTGGTACTACTTACACGTCCAATACTTCAATCCGAAAAATACGTAAGAAAGCGCTGTATACATTGTAACTGACGGAACAATAATGAGCGTTGATTCCTCTTGGACACCGGTTTTGGCAAAACGTACTTGGCAAAAGTACAAAAACATGGTGACACCGCGAAACTAAATTGGATGGGCTGCCCGTATTCATGACACGTAAAACGAGAACTAGAGTAGATAAGCGCAATGAAACCGTATTCAAAGAGAGGCTACGAATTCCAACGAAATGAAATCACTTTGCCCCAGTTTGAGCCCGAGATCTCGTAACAATACCGGACGTTGTCGCTCCTGGCTTTGTGTTTTCCACTGGATCTCGGTAGCGCTTCAGTAGTGCCTCCAGGTCGTTATTGCGCCTCCTCAGCATGTGATTCTCGTAACGTATTTTATCCAAGTAGTTAATCTATAAAGGGCATTGCTGAAAGAATACGTAGACGAACATTTCACTGTTTAACAATTTCAATGATGCAGAGAAATAATCAAAATTCCGGACTGCAAGTATATGCGGTGGGAACGAACGCGTTATTGTCCTTTACGGAGAGTAACGCGTTCACCACCACACCATGCGGATCCTTCGTTTGGCCTGTCTCTCAGCTAGTTTAATAATTGTTAAAGAATTGTATTTCTTTTCGAGCTTCACACAAAATATACACTTACAATCTAATAGAACGAAATTGAAGGCATCACTCCACGATAAAAAGTAAGAAACAGTTTCCTGTCCTACTGATACGGTTAAGAAAACGGTTAAATTTGGGTGAACCAAGCCATTCGATAACACAGCTCCTTCTTAATATTTAAATATATCTTACACGTTAATCCTTCCAGTGGTTTGCTACCTCGTTGTGGCTGGGAAGTCGACGGGAAGGGAAGGGAAGAAAGAGTGAGCTGCGATGTACAACGGTAGGATTCATTCTCCCGGCAGGGTCTCCCACGGTGAGGAGCCCGGCTTTTCCACCAGGAAGTCCAGCTGAGTAAAGCAATACCAGGATCCGTCACTATCCTGCTACCAAACTATTCGAATGAAGACAAATCTGCTACCTGCAGCAAAGCTACTACCTGCGGATCTTTGATTTGCTTGTTTGCATTGCACCTGCCATCAACGAAGTTCTTCTGGTTTGCATTTGAGTTGCAATGCTGCTTGAAAATTTTTGGTCTTCCTTATGAATGTCGACAGACGAGTAAATTCTCCGGAAATCCTGAGGTACCCCTGCTAGAACTTTTCCACTTTTTAAGCGCGGACAGTCACCAGTTCTCATGTGAGAAGAAGCACCCGGCTTATTCCGGTACCCATTTCCGGCCCAGAAATAATGAAAAGGTTGGTTGCCTAGGGTCGAACGAGGGTCATGTGCGTCTAATTAATTAAGTGTAATTTAATTCTATTCCTCCCAACGTTTACCACCTTATCGGGGCTAGGAGGTGTTCCTGGGTACCGGGCTGCAATGTACAGCGGTGGGATTCATTCTCCCGGCCGGGTCTCCCAGGGTGAGGAGTCCGGTTTTTCCCCCAGGAAACCCAGCCGAGTAAAGCAATACTAGGATCAGTCACCACCCTGGCGCCAAACTATTTGAATGAAGGCAAATCTCCTTCTAAACCACAAGGGCGGTGACTGCCTATGGTGATGACGACCTGGGGTAGACTTTGGATAGGCTGCCCTCGGGACTCCAGGTAACCACAGTGGCTAAGCCAGCAAATCTCCAGAGAATGAAAATTATGCCGGAGTCCGCATGACCAGTGAAGACGGGTCATCCAAGCACCCAATTATCAAGTACACGTTACTGGGAGACTATTGTACCCGACTGACGGTTATGAAAATGCAAAAATTCGCTTTCCTACAATACATTTCCTACAACGACTGGCAGGTTTTGGATGTCGCTATACCTCATGTAACATTTTATGCAGTTCTTCGAAATTTCGTTAATCTACCTTTTGCTTGTGGTTGTTGTGACCGACGAGTTCAGTCAATGCGCGGTCAGCTTCTGACTTCTCTTCGCGTAACAACGTCAGTTCCTTAAACATACAATGGTAAATGTTATACAATGGTAAAGGGCTACATGGATGAAGAGCTAAAGTGGAGACAATAAATCTAAATCACCCTCATTGCTTCCTCAAGTTCAACTTTGTTATTTTCTGCTACTTGTCTTGCTTCATCCAGAACACCGCACTTCCTAAGCAACCTGTAAAATCCGTGGAAGTTTACCACTACTTACATTATTTTCTACCAACATATACAAATCGGAACACATTCATGATTAACTGCGCATACTTGATGACGGTACGAATGTAAACCCAACTAACTTACTGTTCTCTTTCGGCGTGTAGTTGAATTATCTGCTGATCCCTTTCACTCAGGTCCATGATCAAACGCCTTTCTTTGTCCGAAAATGTTCTGGAACACAACAACTATAATATAAAAAATGATGAAGTATTATGATGGTAAATGCAGTCAGGAATCAGCAGCAAAAAACTTAACAGTACGTACTCTTGCAATTCAGCCAATTTACGATTGAACGCCTCTTGCATATTCTCACGATACGAAACGAACTGTTCCTTAAAAATAATGTTGACAACATATCTTAGGCGAGTGGCAGCAACATGGCGGAACATGATGTCTGACGTAGAGTGTAAGCAACCGTGTACTTGACCCGAGACGACGTAGTCGACCTGTCTACGCTGCATCCGATTATCTCATATCTTCCACATACAGAACTATATTTAAGGGCGAATTTACCTCAATAATATAGAAACGTCTTCTCACAGAAAGCCGAAAAGACAATCCGATAGAATTTCTAATCCAAGAGTACATCAAGCCATCATCAAGTAAAAGAAAAGGCAGCAAAGT